GGAATATATTTGTTAAAATATAAAGCAAAATTCCATTTTCATTCTCTGGTTATCATTAGGAATATAGTTATATGTAGTTCCTGTGATGGAAAGCTCCTTATTAACATGAACATTTTTCAAAGCACCTATGAACTGCATCCTAATTTTTGGGGAGTGGGGGGATACTGAGGATTGAACCTGGGTGCACTACTACCAAACTATTTTACCAGTCCTTTTTTTTTTAAGTTTTGAGACAGAGTCTTACTAAGTTGCTGATGCTGGCCTTGTGGCTCAGTGGTAGAGCACTTGCCTAGCATGAGTGAGGCACTGGGTTCAATCCCTGACACCACATAAAAATAAACAAATAAAATAAAGGTATTGTTACAACTAAAAATATTTTTTAAAAAAATAAAAATAGCGAAGCATGTAGTTCAGTGGTAAAGTGCCCCTGGTCAATCTCCAGTTTGAAAAGCCAAAACCAAAACAATAAACTGAGCATACATTTTCTTACAGAAATAACAAAGACCTCATGCTACTTGACAGAAGTTTAAAGTACTTAATTCATCATGCACTAAAACCTGTCCCCTACCTGAACAGTAATTTTCTGAAAAACCACTTGGGTAAGTAATTGTCAGTGGGGGAATCAACGGTCTTAGGGTCCTAAGTGAACAAAAAGCACTTAAAATATTTTATACTTGTTTTTTTTTAATTTTTTTTAAGTTCTAGATGGACAATTCCTTTATTTTATTTATTTACTTTTATATGGTGCTGAGATTTGAACCCAGTGCTCGGCAAGTACTCTACCACTGAGCTACAACCCCAGCCCTTATATTTGTTAAAAGAAAAAAAGTAAATAAAATAATAGTATTATATGTATTTTAAATCATGAGTATATTTGCATTTGTCATTCGCCACTCTTTGACCTGGGGAATATGAAAGATGTTCTATACCTATGTTATTATATAGACATTTTGCTTTGTTACAGAGAATATGCATAGTAAAGGATACATAGTAAAAGAATGTTGGTTCCATTCCAACATTCAATATTATTTTTTATTTTGACACAATCACCTTAAGTTGTCAAGACTGGCCTCAGACTTGCAATCCTCCTGCCTCATCCTACTGAGTAACTGGGATTAGGCATGTACCACTGCACCTAGAAAGAAAATTACTTTTTTGTAATGAGAATGCTATCGGCCCACTGTATAAAATTTGTACATATCAAATATAAATAAGTCCAACCCCATCATCTAGAAATGGCAGCTCTTGATACTCGGGTGAACATCATTCCAGATTTCTACCTCTATCTCTCTTTCTCGCTCATATATGTGATACTGGGGATTGAACTCAGGCCATCAGCATGCTAGGCAAATGCTCTACCAGTGAGCTATACCGCCAGCACCTCCAGATTCATGCATATATATATACACATAAAGAAACATTAAATGTAACTGATGTTTTGTTTTTTTAATACTAGGGATTGAACCCAGCAGCACTTTAACCACTGAGCCATATCCCCAACCCTTTTTATGTTTTTTATTTAGAGACAGGGTTTTGCTAAGTTGCTGAGGCTGTTTTGAACTTACAATCTTCTGGCCTCAGCTTCCCTAGTTGCTGCAATTACAGGCACGTGCCACCACACCTGGCATTGATATGTAATTTTACATTAGTGAAATATACTGTTCTATAACTTGCCTTTTATTTTCAATATGTGTCAGCAATTATAAATGTACAGTACATCTATCTACCTTATTTTTAAGTGGATGCTGAGCACTCTAGTGCATGGAGGAACTATAATTCCTGTAGTCATTTTCTTCCCAATGGACATTTCAGATTCTGTCCAATATTTCCCAATTATTATCATTATAAAGTTACAGTTTGGGCTGGGGATATAGCTCAGTTAGTGAAGTGCTTGCCTTGCATGCACAAGGCCCAGGGTTTGAGTCCCAGCACAAAAAAAAAAAAAGCTACAGTTTTGTTCATACACTGCACATTCATCCTATTGTTCTGTTAGGATAAATTACTAGGTGTAGAGTATTAAAAGGTATGCATAATTTACACCAAAATATACTGTGCCATGTAGCCCTCCCTTTGGAAAGGCCAACCTATTCCACACACCTACCAAATGAGCCTTTCTGCTGGTCAGGCCAAGTCTTTTCCCTCTCTCCTCACTGGCTTCAGCAACCTCTACATGGACTGTGGAAGGACAGCAGGATAAAGAAGGAAAAATCCTTGCTTACAAGAAGCTTGCATTCCAGCAGGGGAGATAACAGGAGAAAGCTGACAGACGAGCCAATGAAAGTCAGAAAATCAGAGACTGAAGGCAATCCAGGGAGAATGAGTCATACAAGAGTGTGAAGAAAAAATATGTCCTACTGGGTGTGGTGACACACACCTGTAATCTAAGAGGCTTGGGGGTGGGGCTGAGGCAGGAGGACCAGCGTTCAAAGCCAGCCTCAGCAAAAGCCAGGTGCTAAGCAACTCAGTGAGACCCTGTCTCTAAATAAAATACAAAACAGGGCTGGGGATGTGGCTCAGTGGATAAGTGCGTCTGAGTTCAATCCGCAGTGCCAAAAAATAATAAAATAGAAAAAAATATGTCCCCTTACTTGCCTTGCCCAATTCCTTCCCATACTCACTGAGCAAAGGATCTTGTGCAGTAGCTTCAGGAGGTAGAACAAGATTCTAGTAAAGTGGGGGTTGAGAATGAGAGACTAAATTGGGAGACAGTTCTTAGGGTCCCAGGATAGGAATTCTGCGCTTTCCTCCCAGTGCTAATACCTAGGAATATTTCAGTCCTAGGCTACAAGGCTCTTATTACCTCTTGCTTGGTTCCAAGAGACTGATCTAGATATATAAAGATACATGGTTAAAGGTGAAATGTTTTCTCTGATATGTGGAAGCTAGTCTAAGAGAAGAGAGAGAGAGAGAGGGAGAGGAAACAGTGGTAGGAGGTATAGAGGGAAGAATTCCATCAAAATAAAAGAAGGATCAGGAGAGTAGAAGAAGGGGATTGAGGAGGAGCGAGGAGGGATGGAATAAGGGAAAAACAGTGGAATGATTTGACCTAACTTTCCAATGTACATAGATGAAGATACTATAGTGAATTCCACTACTATGTATATCCACAAGACACTACTATTAAAAACTGTAAATAAATAGAAAGATCAATAGAGTACAGGAAAGGAAATGGGGGAGGAAGGAGAGGGAAGATAAGAGTACGTACTGGGGATCGAATTGAAGCAACTTATATTTCATGTATTTATTATGTCAAAATGAATCTTAATGTTATATATAACTATTATGAACCAATAAAAAAATTTGTGGTAGATTAATTTAAATCACTGTAGATGGATAAGGAGGGGGAAGAGATACTGATAAGATTTTTTTATGAATTTACCCTTCATTTTATACTCTGGGGGTTGGGAGTAAGTTGCAGTTAAACCTGTCTGCAATTTAAAACAGGCGATAAATTAGTTTAGAGGGGAGCCCTTTCCCCATCACTAAAATCTCTTCCTGGCACATTTTCCCTTCCTTTTCTAATCAAGATCCCTGTCATGGCAGTTGCAGCACCGTGGGATAGCTGGGCCTGGTTATAGGGACCAATAACTTGGCCTGACTAGTAGCTTCCCCAAGATTGTTTAAACCTTCATTTGTCAAAATCTTAGGTGGAAAGGAAGGAAGGAAAAGCGTCATGTTATTTTTGCAATCTGCAGAGATTAAATATATAATACTAAATACATGTAAATGAATATATACCCACGTGTGTATACACCCATATATATGGTTGGGGGTGGGGGTTGGGAGACTCCTCTACCTTGAGTATCTCCTTAGATCCTCTTCACCATTACCTGCAGCACACAAACACAAAGTCTAATTGCCATTATTTCTTGCCAAAAAAAAGTAACTTAATTAGTAGAGTTTGGACTGGAGCCTAGATTTTAAGAGATGGAAACTCGCTCTCTTTTCTCACAACTGCACTTATGTTGACCTCCATTCTTCCATGCAACCAGTACATTAGCTTCCTCCATTACCTTACACATCTCTCACCAAATCTTCTGTAGCTCCTTACTCATCTCCATTGACACTGCTTATCAATTTTACGGGTCCTCTTTACTTCTTACATTTATTTATACTTGTCTGTGACAGAACGTTACATACTGTTTTCTATGAAAAAAATCGTGCCATGCAGTACAGAGGAATATGCCTTCAAAATAAAATTTTCATGTTCAAATTTACCATCTAGGTGACCATAGTTATATTAACCTTTGTAGCTTCACTTTTCCCATCTGCAAAGATGGAATAATGCCTAACTCTTAGGGTTTTAAAAGGTTGCTAGTATATGTAATGTGCTTAAACACAATACCAATACAATATACTTTAAAAGCTCTTAAATGGTAGGTAATACTATGAAAATAATATTTACCTCAACAGACTGTTTCTACGTGCTTGACACTAAAGGAGCCCCTCAAAATGTTAGTTCTCCTGTTTCCTTGTCCTTGAAACAATTTCCAAGTTCTTTCCAACAAAGATTCAGAACCAAGATCAAACCCAACGGATTTCCTTTATTCGTACTCCTAAGATTCCAACATTCATTCAGGATAACAACCACATCATTTGTTCTCAAATCATCGGAAAAGAATAATCACGTTTCGCATATTCCTCAAAAGAAACGTCAACAGAATAGCTCCCGTGAAAGCAAGAGTATCCAGGTGCATTTCAGAGTTATTCTGGCTCCGCACCAGAATAAATGTTTACAACACTAATGATACACCGAAGCCGGGGAGGAAAACTTGAGACAATGGTCTGAACAATCTCAACAGGAACCACGCAAGACGAAGTTCAGGCGAGTGGTGGAGTGAACGAAAGTGTTCCTACAGAGTGTGGATATATCATCGAATGAGCCTGCGTGTGTCCAATGCGCCGAGAAGTCTGAGCGCGGACGGGTTTCCCTTTGAACCGCGGTGCTCATGAGTGAGCGACCGCGCAAACCCTTGCGGGGTTGTCCTCAGAGCGCTTACCTAGGCCGACTAGCAGGTGGACGCCGCTGGGCGCCGCCATGTTGGCGCTGGTCACGTGGCCGAGCACTCCTCTCAGCCCCGCCCACTGGCGCGGTCCAGTCGCAGCCCTGCCCAAGACCCGAGGCGCGGGAGCCGCCTGGAGCGAGTGCGCTTGCGCGCGGGATATTAACTGCGGGAACTGTGGCCGCGGAGCGTCTCCGGCACCCCGGCGGGCAGCTGAACCCCCCTGCCGGCGGAGCCCCCTCCGGCCGCGAGAGGCAGGTTCCAGCCGCATCTTGCGCGCTGGCTCTGAGCACCCGCGCCCAGGTAGGATGGAAGAAACCTATCAGGTAAGCGTGGCATCCAATATTTATAGCATCAAAATGTTGATGCACGGAAACATGAAGTTGGGTGGAAAATTTTAAAAAAGCACAATCTATGTTCAGCATAGCACTTTGCAACGGCTGCCACTCTGTTGCAAATTATTTCCCTAGGTTCAGTTGAAAGGTAAAATTTGTTCAAAGTCACCAACTCCCCCTTTGCTCTTCTAGAATTTACATTACTCAGACTCCCTACAAGACAGGATCTGTGTGCCGCTGCAAAAGCTATTCTAGGTACCCCAGTGAGTATGTTTGGAGGGCCTCTCTTTCCCCAAGGACAGCTTTAAAATGTGAGTTACACTGGGAAGCCTACAGAAGACCAATTATGAGTCAAGTGAGGGAGCAGATGTGTCTTTATGGATGATGGTTCCCTTTTTTCTTTCTTTCTTTCTTTTTTTTCCTCCAAATTCACTGTTCCTCTTACCTGTGCTCTGGGGTAGAGTCTATTCTGTCATAGACCAAGTATTACTTATCTTGGTAGCCTGTGTCCCCATTACTGAACCTGATACCCAAGAAATGTCTGCAGAAGGAACTGAACTCTCCATGGAACCAGTCAAATGGAGAATGTAGTAGATTCTGGACTTAAAACGCAGTCAGGATTGATAAGGATTCTTTATCAGTGTGTGTGATGTCTTCCAATTTTGCAGGGGCGGTACCGGGGATTGAACTCAGAGGCACTCGACCACTGAACCACATCCCCAGCTCTATTTGAATTTTATTTAGGGTCTCACTGAGTTGCTTAGTGCCTCGCCATTGCTGAGGCTGGCTTCGAACTCTTGATTCTCCTGTCTCAGCCTTCCGAGCTGATGGGCCTGGCTCTAATTAATTTTTAAGAATTTATAGTTTACTCAGTGACAAATCTAAACAAATCAGAAATGAGTAAAGGAAAAAGTGCGAATACATTTCTCACCCTCTCTGTACACCACAATCTCAGTTCCCGGTAAGCCATTGTGTGCATCATTCTAGACCTTTCATAGGCAAATACGTGTATTCTGCAATCTGTATTGGAGTAAAAATGGGAGTTCATAACCCACTTGAATCTAATGTATGAAATATGATATGTCAAGAGCTTTGTAATGTTTTGAACAACCAATAAAATAAATAAATAAATAAAAATGTTCTAAAATTTAAAAAAAATGGAATCACATAGTTATCTTTTTTTTTTTTTTAAGTCAGGGTCTTACTAAATTGCTTAGGTCTAGCTAAGTTGCTGCTGGTGCTTGCCTTGAATTTGCCGTCCTCCCCTCAGCCACCTGTGCTGCTGGGATTACAGGCTTGCTCTACCCAGCTACATACTTACTCTTTAGACTTGTTTTTTCCCCTCATTGTAAACATCAATTCTTGGAACACTCAAGCTCTTTGAAATAACTATATAAGCTTCATATTTTTACTTTTAAAGTTTCAAATAGAGGACACATGGAATAATACTTGGAGACCCAGCTTGAGATGCTTTTGAAAGATAAAATAATATTTTTCCACTGTGCTAAATAAGAGGTACAAGGATGAGAAGGAAATAAACTCCTACAGGTTACTTCAAACTCCACCTTTTACAAACAGATCAGTTTCAGGGTAGGGTTTTCTAAATGTGGTAAATTTGCCCTCTCTATATAACTGAAGCCAACAATCTGAAGGCAGCAAAAGGACCCTGAGAATTAGCTGGACACCAAGTGTCAGGAAATCTTCAGAAAAAAAGAAATTTAGAAGTCCCTAGTGAAATGTCAGGGGGTATTGAGCCCAATTTCAAACACGTGTGAAATAGAACACATGTGGCTTAACTCATACTGAGCCCTTGGAAAACAAATGCATAATTTATTCCCCTGCAACTAGAAGGAAAAGGAAACATTATGAGGACCCAGTTGGCACCAGTGTGGTTGACTCCCACTGAGGAAATCCCTAATAAGTTGAGCATGTGGACATCTAGGATGAGTTAGAAATAAAGCATATATGAACTTGCATGGGTAATAGCTCACCCTCTGATCCTTGATTTGGCTTCTTTCATACCACATCCTTCTGACAATAGATATATGCATAGTGACCAACAGGATGAAATACTAGACCACTGTCATCTAAGATGTCATGTGATTTTAACATTTGGTGGTCCTTGGCATGCAGAGCATTAGAATGCTTTTACTTTGATGAGCAACTTCTACAGAATCAGGTCTTCTCTACTCTGTTTCTGCCCATGCTCCTACCTGTGAAATGAAAGTTAAGTAAACTTTGGTAGCACTTCATTGATTTCAACTCTGTTTTTCAGATTTTGTACTTGGGATTCTTGAATAAAAACTTGAATAGTTTTTCAAAACCAGGGTTCAAGAAATAAAGAATAATTTCTTAAAAGCTCCAGTTTCTGTGTCCAAAAAATTCAGTGTAGAATGTTAAAATGTTTTTATTAATTGTGATTGATTATTGTTTTGTAGGTCTTTTACCTCGATTTTGAAAAGATCATGCCTCATTCACATCTTTAAAAATCTTTGTATCTCCGTTTATAAAAGAAATAAATCAGAAGTAATTTGTTATGCAATTTTTAAAAATAAAGTTTTCTTTTCTCCTTCTAAATGATGTTATAGACTTATTCCAATTTATTTTAAAATTTTGCAAAGTTGTATATAGTTAGTGATAAAATTTAAATCAAACAAATTTTTCATAATATATGTATTGAATCTTTAAATGTTGTAAGGGATTATATGACATGAAGTAAATCCCTTTTAAACAATTTTGTTTTGTGATGCATCATCATGTAACTTGTCTCACAAGTTTAGATTTTTATATACTTATTAGAATTACCTATAGTGCAAGATACTTAAAAACTGAATATGAAATAGGGGTGACTAAAAAAAATTATTATATATGAATGCATTGTAAAACTAAGTGAACTAGGGGTTGGGGTTGTGGCTTAAGTGGTAGAGTGCTCACCTAGCATGTGTGAGGCACTGGGTTCGATCCTCAGCACCACATAAAAATAAAATAAAGATATTGTATCCACCTAAAACTGAAAAATAAATATTTAAAAAAAAAACCTTAGTGAGTTAATATGATATTTCCTGTTGGGCACAGAGCAGGTTCCATGGTCTGTTAGGGGAAACTGGTTGAAACCTGAACAGCTTAACTGGGCTTTTCATCTAAACTGAGTTGCCTTCATTCTCCCTTCCTGACCCTGCTTTTCAGTTTTGTCATCCGACTCAGAAAAATTAGCCCTTTAATTTGATCTCAGATTCATTTCTTAGCATTTTACTCTGTGGCTTGAGAATAATATTTCCAATCCTGCCCTCTAATTTGTCCAATTTGAAGATGAGGAAGTGCTTTCATTTATTTCCATATTTTGTGCAAAATGAACATTCTTTCCAGTAACAAGGAGTCCTGTACATGTAACAGAGGCCTATCTTAGTAGCTGGTTGGACCCCTTTAAAGTTAGGGTCTAACTTTTGAATGATTATACGTTCAGGCAGATAGTTTGAAGGCACATTCAGCCAGCTTACTGGCAGAAATGCCATGTTTCCTATATCGTCATTTGATATAATCATGGACATGTTTCTGAGCAATCTAGGGGTACTCTTAGAGAAAATGTGTAAATACCCCATATTTTATGAGGAAAAAGTAATGCCATATGTGAGGCAGTTGTGAGAAATCAAGTTTGCTTTCTCTTTGTTTTTTGTGCCCTATTTCCTTGATCTTTAGCATTGCAAAGAGGGACCCAGAACAAGAGGAGGGGGACTTTAGTTGATTTGTTTAATGACATTTTCTCAGCCCTATAACTCCTATACAAATGAAACTCCACCCTCTTCTATTGAGATTGTCCTACCTGACCCCTCCTACACTGAAATTCTGAAAATGTTAGGGTCTATAGATGTTTGTAGGCATGAGCTCAGCAAATAGTATGCTGCCCCCTCTTGATCACTCTGCCAAGGAAGGGAAGTAAAACAGAACCAGGCAGCCCTAATAGAGTAAGACCTAAACATTTCCCAGAGGTGATGTTGGTGTTATGAGCCTAACACCAGTCTGGCTGGCATCCATTTCAAGCTGCTGCAGTCTTTTAGCTTGAAAATATGATGTGAGATTGTAAGCAGTGATGACACTCACTTCAACATAATCCCATATCCATTGTTGGAACTGTCGCCTGCCTAGAATAGTGGCAAGGACTGAGAGAAAGAAGAGAAGGATATAAGGAAGAATATGAGGGTGGTCTCAGGACCCTCACACTGTGCTGTGCATCAGAGCTTTCTGATAATTCTGCCTGCTTTGGTCAGAGTTGGCTTTGAAACTGTGCAGTGACACACAAAGGTCAAAGCTTCCCTGTCTCATCTCTTGGGACTGGTTCTAAGGAGGTTGGTTTTAAGCAGAAGTATGCATTTGCTCCCTTGAAATCTAAATGAAAGTGTGAACGTTAGAGGCTGTTGTCTCTTCCTCAGTTGGTAATCATTCAGAGAGTAGCACCTGTTTAGACACTTCTAGAGAATAAAATCTATTTGGAGTAAGAAAGGTGAAAAATTTTCAAGAAAATTTAATGATCAATCAGCCAATCAACAAATATGGCCGGATGCAGGGTTGCATGCCTGTAATCCCAGCAGCTCTGGAGGCTAAGACAGGACGATCTCGAGTTCAAAGCCAGCCTCAGCAAAAACAAGGCACTAAGCAACTCAGTGAGACCCTGTCTCTAAATAAAATATAAGAAATAGGGCCAGGGATGTGGCTCAGTGATTGAGTTCCCCTAAGTTTGGTCCCCGCTACCCAATAAATAAATAAGTAAATAAATAAGTGCCTACTCTAGGCTCCAAGGAAATATGATATTGTCTTTGTTCTTAATAGGCTGGGGATGTACATCAGTGGTAGCACACTTACCTAGGGTACGCAAGGCCCTGGGTTTGATCCCAAGCATCACAAAAAGAAAGCAAGGATTAAGAACCTAATTGGTGGGGGTGGGGTTGTCAGTGGTAGAGTGCTTGCCTAGCAAGCGTGAGGCACTGGGTTTGATC